GGGAAAAAAAAGTAACTTGCGTTACTTATTTGAAAAAGAAACTCAGATATTCTCTTGTAAATTAAAAAGTAATTTGTTACTTTACTAGTTACTTGAAAAACTCGCGTTACTTGTAATGCGTTACCCCCAACACTGACCAAAACTGCTGCCACTACTTTTTTTTTTTATTATTATTCAAACATACTAATTGCTTACACAATCTTGCTGTTTAATAGAATACAAGACATTGGTTATATAGTTTTCAATCTTATTTAATTTGTATAGGACTGTGAGCACTGAGAGTGGGACTTGTCCTCTGCTGACTGTTCAGCCCAATCGAGCACTGGTGGACGAGAAATTTCAGATTGTCATAATGAATTTACTGCCAAATCAAAAGGTGACGCTACACTCTCTACATCAATCAGAGGACAAGGACTTCTGGGAGGCATTTGGACACTACATCAGTGATGAATACGGGACAGTGACAGGTGCACAGTCAGTCTAATGCATGACCCTTAGAGTTATTAAAGTTATTACTGTAATATAGGACCTGCCAACAACATACAATACCATTCAAAAGTTTGGGATCAGTAAGATTTTTAAAATGTTTTTGAAAGACGTCTCTTATGCTTACAGAGAATGCAAAAATGGAGTAAAACGGTAATAGTATTACATATTATTACAATTTAAAATAACTGTTTACTATTTTAAAACGCCATAGCCAAAGTTTTCAGTGTCACATGATCCTAATATGCTAATATGCTCAAGTAACATTTGTCAATATTGAAAACATTTGTGCTGCTCAAATATTTGTGGAAACCATGATACATTTCAGGATTCTTTGCAGAATAGAAAGTTCAAAAGAGCAGCTTTTATTTGAAATGGAAATTTTTGTAATAGTATAAAAGTCTTTATTGTCATCTTGGATCCATTTAGTTAATCCCTACCGAATAAAATCCTCCTGAAGGTGGTGTATAGGCTACAAATATGGTTAATTCCATAACATAACTATGTTTACTGTAGGGAGATAATGAAAGGAAATCCCCAGCCTGGCTAGATCGTAATCCAGCTTATCAACTACCTAAACTACCTTGAATGATGATGAATAACCTACTTCGACCAACATATAAAATTATTTGATCCTTTTGAAATTTAGTGGCCAAAGATGAAAGTTTGGGAGGCACCTATGAAGGCACAGAGCAGATGGGGTTGCTATGGAGCATGAGGCCCATACCGGGAAGTCGACCTGGACTCAGGTAACTTAGGCTGGCAAAATCATGTTTTTTTTTTTCTTAATGCTGTCTGTCTCACAAAGTTTAAATTCCCTTTTTTTGCCAAATGAATACTAAATGTGAGATGTACTGTAAGTCTTGGAAAAGTCATCCATTTCTTCAGAATTTTCCTCCACTAATCTTTGATTCCTGTCTCTTTTATTCAAGGCTGCGTAAGACGAATATACTCACACCAATGGTAATTCACATCTCAGTATATGGTGGGCATCTATCTCAAGGATTCAGCCAGCAAACACCCCTGGCAACCAGTACCATAGAGCGCTGGTATGTTGCGCCAGGCGTGCAGAGGGTGAACATCAGGGAGAATGGAGTACGAGGAACTTTATTTCTTCCTCCAGGTAAACACAACCACACAATGATGTAATGATATATCAAAATACAATTCATATGTATACAGTGACTTAAATAAGCCTCTGCTAAGATGACAAGGTTGATTCATTTCTGAATTTTATTTTGTTTCGTTTTTTAATGGCAGGATGACAGAACTGTTGATATCATAATGAAACAGCCTTAAAAAGTTATTTTAAAATATTACTTGAAGTAGTTTGACATAATCTTTTATTATTATTGCTTAGCATTTGAAATAACGTTTCAGCATTTGAAAAAGTTTTGTCTGCCAATTCAAGATTATGTTGTGGAACTAAACTTGTTTAAAAATAAATGTAGAAACCCTCATAACATGTATGTCAATGTCACTGTATTAAAATATATGAGATAATTTAACAATTTTATGACTAGTTGGCATGAAACGATTTTTTTAATTTAAAAATAATAACTTTATATTTATTTATATATAAATGTATTTATCTATATATACAGTGGGTACGGAAAGTATTCAGACCCCCTTAAATTTTTCACTCTTTGTTATATTCTGGTGATGTATGCCAAACTTCTCCAGTCATTTAGTCTGCTTAAACCCTGCAATACAATATTGACTGCAAGCTATTTTTTGTTAATCCGTTTTACTTGATGTATGTAACAATACAAAAGAAAAGATCTTTAAATTTACATTAAAGCAGCTTTAAATGAAAACTTCTTGAAAAGTTTTCAAAACCACTTGGCACATTTGACTGTGATTGTATGCTGTCACACAGCGGGTTATTATTGAGTATATACAGACAATTTTCTTGGAGACATTTAGGTCCTGTAAATTGCTTGTAAATAGCTTGCCATGTGTTTTTTTTAGGTCCTGGGCCGTACCCAGGAGTGCTGGACCTGTGGGGAGGAGGTGGTGGTTTGGTTGAGTATCGTTCTGCCCTGCTTGCATCTCATGGCTTTGCATCCATGGCACTTGAGTACCTCGCTCCAGAAGAGCTGAGAACAGCTGATGTTGATGTGTCATACTTTGAGGTAATGTAATTCAAAACTTTTGACAGTCTCCTAAAGTGTAGCAACTCTGACATGATATCCTTGATGATCTACAACTGTTACTGACCTGTCATTTCATTTGTTACCCATGCATTTTCTTGCACTTCCAGTTTCCCTCTTCCCAGGTCTTTCTGTTTACTTCATATTTGTGTGTGTGCATATACATTGTTCCTGTAGAAAGCATACCAGATCCTGCAGAATCATCCAAAGGTACAGAGGGACCGTATGGCAATGCTTGGGCTGTCTTTTGGAAGTGCTGTCACACTCAGTATGGCAGCCTTCTCCAAAGTCATCAAGGTTTGCTTGACCTACACACATGTACAGTTATCTACATTTAAATGCAGCTTTTTAGTTTGTAATGTCATATTACTGTTTTGTAGCCCCAGTGCTGTGTGTGTATCAGTGGAAGTCATGTGTTTCCTGTTGATAAATCCCTCTTTGAAGTATTTGAGGAAATGAAAAAGTGAGTGAACATTAAACATTATTGAGCCTTATCTAAAGCTATAGTAATTCATATTGCTTGATAGTGCCAGAAACTTTGGAGTTTAAAGAATGTTTAAAGAAAATTTGACCTTATTTGTCCTTTTTATTTGAAATAATCATATTAGTTTAGTTATCCAGAGCATTTGAGGGAAATTTACCCACACATTTAATTGCTAGATTATTTAAATGAGTAGATTTGAGTAGTTTTATCTACCCAGATATAAAATAACAGTCAATAAATTATCCATATGAGACATTTACAGTAAAAGACTGATCCTAATGATAAACAGTAACAAGTAATGTTTTTGCAGGTATATAGATAGGGTACGTGTGAATGAGGAGAACCAGGTAATACACAGAGACATTATCTTGCCAATTCCCTCAGACCCAGCTCTCAAAGTGGATGTGAGTACAATTTACAGATTATATAGATTTGTTCATACATAGTCTTTTTCTTTGTCTGTTGTTGTTGTTGTTGTTGTTGTTGTTTTTAATGTAAGATCTGTTTTTTTCACATACACAAAGGTTGGGAGAATAAAGTGTCCTCTTCTGTTGGTGAACGCTGGTGATGATCAGAACTGGGCTTCTGTTGAATCTGCTGAAGATGTGAGTCACATATATTTCAGTTTGGCTAAACTGAACATATTACTAAACATTTATGATTTCATAAGATACCTGGAAAGGACAGACCTTGTAAGACAATAGACAATAAGACAAAATTAAAGGAATAGTTACCAAAAATGAAAATTTTGTTATCAATTCATGCACATCAATTCATTTTTTTTTCTCTGTTTTTTTCCTTTGTATCAGTTATTGATTACTAGATTTAAAAAAAACTTACACTTAAATGTAAATTATAAATGTTGCCTTGACTAAAACTGAGCTGAAATAGTTGAAGCACTAAAACTAATAAAAATTATAAAAAATAAAATAAAACTTACCGAAACGAACTAAAATAAAAATAAAAACTGATCATATAAAAATAAAACTGTAATAGATATTCTGAAGAATGTTAGTAACAGTAACAAAGAGTTTTGGTTACCATTGACTTCCAGTGAATGGACAAACATAAAAGACTGAGACAATTCTCAAAATATCTCAAAATTTGACCGGTGTGGAACATCTTGATGGTGATTATATATTCACAGAGTATTCATTTTTGAGCGGTCCTTTTAACATGCTGTATCAACCTTGGCCACTAGGTGCCACTATCACTATAAACACGAAATCTTAGGACTTTTAATACATTTACAATAAATGGGTGAATGAGTTTTTTAACCTTCAAAAAGACATGAACAATGCATTAAAATGTGTAGTATTACAAAAATGTTGTCATATGAATGCTTTGTATAAGGAACAAAACTAAATGTATGTCGTTATTTGCTGTTATTCTTCTCCTCCAATGAGCTGTTACTAGGTTTTGTGAAATTGATGAACTGATTCACTAAAAAAAACAATTCTTAAAAGAAAGATGTTAAAAAAAGCACTGGTCTACTATTATCTTTTTTATTTAGAGTAGAGTCACACAAGGGTAAGTAAATGACTTAATTGTCATTTTTGGGTGAACTGTCTCTTTAAATTATTTACTGCAGTTAATCTTGGTGTAGTGTTCTCACCTGCTATGACTGAAATCATCTGATCTGAATTGGATCCTTGATATGGGTCTTTTACACTCAGATGGAGATGATGATGGAGAAAGCAGGAAATCGACACCTGTTGACGGTCCTGACGTATCCTGGCGCAGGTCATCTGATTGAACCTCCATACTCGCCTCACTTCCGAGCATCTAACTTCATCCTGCAGGAAATGAAGGAGAAGAGTAAGCATGCATGAGCTACTGTTTCGTTTTGCATTTTTTTGTATAGGATCAAAGTATTTAGACCTTCTTAAATGTATGATTATATGTGCAGTGTATCCCTTGAATATTCACTGAATGTGTTGTTGTTGCTGCAGTTGTCATGCTGTGGGGTGGACAGACGAAACCACACGCATACGCACAGGAGAACGCATGGGAGAAGATTTTAGCATTTCTGCGGCAGCACCTCTACTTCAGTTCAAACTTTGCAGTAAAAGCCAAACTGTAGTTCTGTCATCTACAACAATTACACTTTATTTCAAATATTGCTGATAATGATTGCCAGCACTTCTTACTTTTCACTTTGGTATCTGTAGAAAATAAAAGTGGACATTATTTTTTTTAATACTTTTGTAGTATAAGTTACACATAAATGCATTATTAAGGTTTGTAATGATGTATATAGGTTATGATGACAATAACTTAAGGCATTACAAGCACAGTTTAGGTTGTGTTGGGCAATATTTCTTGATACACTAAATACAATATTTGGGCAACATTTCTGGATATACTTCAGTTTGTACCCACAATCCATTTCTAAGAATGTGTTAGAAATGCAAAGTTGAAATGAGATTAATCCATTATCTAATTTAATTATGTTTAAAATGTGTTTTGATAAAACAATTAATTTTTATTTTCTAAAGCGAATATCATGCTTATTATATAATTATGATCATATTTTGAACAGAATTGATGCAAAAGCCACCAGATTCCAGATTTTAAAATATTTGGGTATGTAGGAATGTAATAAGTTTGCCAAGTTCAATGTCATGTTTTTAAATTCACAGATCAGTTGTGGATGAATAAATATGCAATTATAAAAATCCTGTCTTTTTCATTTAAACGTGAAAGGATTTGAGACTCCGCCAGAGTGTTTGGCGTGATACAGGGTTTGCAGCAGCACTACATGCGTAAATCAGCGTTGACTAATATCATGGGCGGGAGCTTCGCTTCTCCCACGCTCCACACACACAGTTATTCAGCTCTGGAAAACATTACTGGAGGACGAGAGCAACCATGTGGATTCTCCAGATTACAGCTCTTACGATATGTAAGTTTTGTTTATTAGTATTCTTCCATTCATAACGTAAATGTAAAAGACACTGGGTTTCATTTGATACAGTTTATGTATGAAGTTTGATGGTGACCCAGAAATATTATTGTTTTTACACAGATCAGTGTGTTGGGTTTTTAGATTCTGTAAGGTAGATTTCTAAAGAACTAGAGAATCAAAGTTGTTTAAGAGTTCCTGTCATGATTCAAAACAGTTTTAGTTCTAGTTTGAAACTTTATTTTATTATTTCAACTTCTTAAATATAAGTATGGAAAGAAAGGTAAGGGTATGTAGTATTTGTGAAATGTTATGTGGTCCAAAGTCAGCATCCAATATAAATGCATTTCGTTTTGGTGTTACATAGTGTCAAGTTTGGTGTCTAGAGGTTTGTGTGCATCCCATCTGGTTTCCTGCATGCCACATTCAGCTCTCCATCGGGTCATTAAACGTTCTCATGTGAAATTCATTTCAGTAATTAGAAACAGACTCCAAAGACTGTAACCAGAAGCCAAAATGATTAACCATGTATATAGTTCACCAATGTTTCAGTGATGTAATAGTATACACATTAAAATTAAATAAAAAATAATGTATGACTTGCATAACTAAGGGGCTAGTTGTCACAAGAGTTGTATCACAGAAACTATAAGATTTTGATTCAAAATCACAGATCAGTGTTTGTTTATCACGTGATGTTAGTGGCTGTATGTAAAATTACCCTGAGAAACATTCACTGGAGCAATAAGTATGACATCTGGCTCCAAACTTTGATTGTACTTTTTTTAATGTCTCTGGTTAACATTTGGGATTCATGACACTTGTTATGCCACTCATGTTGAAAAATAGTAGGATGCAATTTAATCGGTACAATCAATGCGATTCCCATAGCTATTGCTTTGCACACCCTGGCACAAGTACCCGATCACAATGACAAGTGTGCAGAGGGGAGCTGTTACCCTGCTACAGGTGATTTGCTGATAGGAAGAGCACATCGGCTTGCAGTCTCCTCCACCTGTGGACTGGATGGACCAGATAGATTCTGCATTGTCAGCCATTTGCAGGTAATGCATAGTTAGACACAGTCATGCATTATAAAAGACAGACATGCACTTAAGAATTACTATCAAATATCCAAAGATATGTTAAATTGGTTTAAACAAAATATTGTATGTATAATTATTTGTTATGCGCTATATAATATAATGTAAGTAGTTTTTTTGTATACATTTTTTTTCAGTTATTTTCTCTATTGTACATGACTTACGTACTAAATTTTATATGCTAAATTTTATTATAATGATTACAAATGATTGTATTGCAATAATGAGAATCTCCATTGAGAATAATGAGGAAAAACACAGAAGTAAAACACATTGCAGTAATGACAATTTTGGGGTAAGCAGATTTGATTGTCATGAAATCAATGGCACAATGCATAAATTAGGCTTATATATATATATTCTTATACATTACATATACAAGCTAAAAACATCTGATTTGGTCATAATCTGTCTATGTTGCTGGGTGGGTTTCTTTCCACACTTATATTCACTGTCTGATAAACAATCAGATCTCTGTGTGGAGAGTATGTGGTGGGAGGATGAAGGCCCCATGTCAGATGTTCCAGACCCCCTTAGGTCACTGTTTTGCTCATTGCATTATCTGTGTGGCCCATTTTTTTTTTCTTCTGTGTATTCTGAGTTATATATTGTGAGCGATGAATTGAGCAATGGTGAGAAGCTCAGACTAAAGTCTGACTGTAAATGTCAATGTGTGATATGCGTGTGATCTGAACTGTGTGTATTTGATCTGGAACTTAATAGTCCAATGTCTGGATTCACAAATATAAGATGCTATCAAACCTTAATGTCATTCCAAATCCTTGACTTTCTTTCTGATCAAATGACTTTCTTTCTTTCTTTGTGGAGAAGATGTTTTTCAGAATGCCCTAGTGATTATTTTCCTTGCAATAATAATAAATGAAGTTGGAAGCTATTTAGAAACCCACCATAAAAGTACGCTAATTTGCGCAGATCTTGGTAGATTGTGTTGGTCATTATGGAAATGGTCTGGCTGCGTCTTTGTTCGTTAATGTGTGCATTGTCAGCGGATAAACCGCAGAACTCTCCACTTCCATCAGCACTTCTATGGGATTGCGCTCTCACACTAATTTGCCCCGTTTAGTAAATCTGGCCCAATATTGTGCATTATATAGCAAATATAGTCATTTAGACTGCTTTTATCATGCATTTTTGTCCGTTTTTGAGCTTTGCAGCACCAGTTCCTGTTAACATTCATTGTATGAAAAACATAACCAACCATAACCAAGAAAATTTTGTAAATATTTCTGTTTTTTTGACTTGGTTATGTGTATAAATTTACTTGACCATGTCAGTTAGATTTAGTCTGTGAGTTTTTCTGTGTATACATGTGTTTATGTTAGTGAGTCATGTGTATGAGAGGGTGAGAAAAACAGGTGCACGTCCAGAACATCTGGATTCCTGCTGTCTGCATGAATGTGTTCTTCTTTTCGCTAAACCCCAAAAGACTCTATATGTCTCACACGCTCCACTAACATCTGCATCTCAATCTCTGTCCAGGATGAAACAGACTGTTTTGAATGCGATTCTCGGCGCATGTACAATGAGTTCACCAACCCCAACAGCCACACCATTGAGAATGTGGTGACAACTTTCGCTCCCAACCGCCTCAAAACCTGGTGGCAGTCCGAGAACGGTAAGTTCTCACACAACAGTAAGAACAATCACAAATAATATCTCATTAATATCTCAGTTGTTTCTCCTAGACAGATCTCTTAGTAATCTAATAGGTATGTCTCCTGTAGAGTTTCAGAGGTAAACTCAACAAAGCACAGATTTACAAAGATAACAAAGTTGCAATCAAAAGTTGAATCTCTTATGTACTCAAATATTCAAAAATGTTCAAAGACTGAAATATCGGAGGTTTACTATGTACATATTTGTAGCTTCTCACTGTATGCCAACAATTGTCGAATTTGTGTGTTTTATTAGTAATATTAGTAACCCCTGAGACAAAATTTATATTTAAAAGGATAGTTCACCCAAAAAAATGTTATTTTGTCATTATTTACTCGCCCTTATGTGTTTCCAAACCTGTTTGTCTTTCTTTACTCTGTGGAACATAAAAGAAGATATTCTGAGATATGTCTTTTTTCCGTGTTGTGGAAGTCAGCGGTCACCAGAATTACTTTGTTACCAACATTTTATTTTTTATTTATTTATTTAGTCATTTAGCAGACGCTTTTATCCAATGCGACTTACAAATGAGGACAACAGAAGCAATCAATTGTAGTATTAAAACAACTAAATTCAATATATATATTATTTCATTTCCATTTAGTTTGTCGAAGTATTAAAATAACTCAAATGAAATAAAACTAAAACTGAATAAAAGACCTATACAGACATAATAAATTCAGACATAATTTAACTAAAATTAAAATAAATAACAAATACAAATAATACAAATCAAACGACAGTAGTTTATCAGTAATCCTAAAAAATAACACTGCCAAACTTACATGCTAAAAAAAAAAAAACGTACTTACACATAGTAAGAAATGGTTATAAAAACTGAAACAGAAGTGAAACAAGTAATAGGAAAGAGGAGAAATAAAAAGCAATACTTATAATATATACTGTATATATACCAACATTCTTCCAAAATATTACCAAAATGTATTTCAATGTGTTCCAAATATGAAAGAGGTTTGGAACGACATAGGGTGAATAAATGATGAGTTTTTATTTTGGGTGAATTTTCCTTTAAATGGAACATAAATGAGACTCGAATCACTCAACTATTTTGAAATAATGAAATACACCGTCAAGTCTCACAAAAACACACAATTCTCTTATCATTGGTCCCAAAAGAATATACACTGGAAGAACATACAGTACTATGTATCATTGCCAAAACTTGGGCAGACAAAGAGAGAACGGCAGGGAGAAAAAGTAAAAGAAATAGTTCGGCTGAGAAGAAGAGCTGACAGGAAGTAGTGGGAATGAGAAAGTAAGAGTTGGGATGAATGCAGCCGCTGGGCGTGGGAAACAGCTGGCCTGCTCTCTCCCTAGCGACTGGCTTCCACAACAGTCACGCTACCGGACTGAATGTAAGGGTGTGGCACGGCATCACTAATTCAGGGAATTTATGACTTTGGATGCTTTATTTGGCATTGTGCTGCTCTTTTGTTGCACCCTTGTTCCCACTAAATATAAAGAAGAAAATGTGGACATTTTCTATAATTTTTCAATAATGTTTTTAATAAAAGGGATTTTAAGATTATGCTTCTTTTTCATTTTCAACTTCCTTTAGTGTATAATGTTACTTTTTGTACAGTGATAGTTTGTTAATTTATGGACTGCATATACATGTTACATTTATCATTAGCAGTGTTGGGGAAAGTTACTTTTAAAAGTAATGCATTACAATATTGCATTACTCCATAAAAAAATTAACTAATTACGTTCCTTTTTTATGGAAAGTAATGCGTTACTTTATTAGTTACTTGAAAAAAAGTAATCTGATTACGTAACTTGCGTTACTTGTAATATATTACCCCCAACACTGATCATTAGTTAGTTATTCATAACCGTTTTCCATCTGACTACTAGAATTAAACAGCCTGTTTTACAGTTGCTACTGTACCTTTAAGATTTGTATTGTATGGAGCCCCTAAAAGGACATGGTGATAGAAAAAAGTTAGATGGGAGGAAAAATTATATTTCAATGCTTTTGCATACTCTTGCACAACTTTTGTGTACCCTCAAGAAACTGCATTCTCTTGCAAAAACGTTTCCATTGCCTTAAGAAACTTTGCGTTTGCTCACAAAATTTTTGTGATGGAAATTATATCAGGTGTGAGGAAAAGCTATATTTAAATGCTTTTGCAATCAAACACAGAATTTCTCAGGGGACTGCAATACTTTTGGAAGAGAATGCACAAGGTTTGAGAGTGAATGCAAAATCTCTGTATCTACACTCTAAAAAATGCTGGGTTAAATATAACCCAGCGTTGGGTTAAAAAGGGACAAACCCAGCTATTGGGTTGTTTTGACCCAGTGGTTGGGATGTTTTGAACCGAACCGCTGGGTCAAAACAACCCAATAGCTGGGTTTGTCCCTTTTTAACCCAGCGCTGGGTTGCATTTAACCCAGCATTTTTTAGTGTATGCACGTAAAATCAGTTATAAAATTTACTCATTTGCTGTGGGTTTTCCATCAAGTCTAATATTGTTTAAGCAGCCCAATCCGTCTCTTTGCAAATTTAATTTAAAGGGGTCATATGATGCTTTTTTAAAGATCATTATTTTGTCAGAAAACTATCCAACTATGTTGCCATCAACCACTACGTTGACTATGTTAAAGTTCAGCATTCCTGAGCATGAGCATGATTCATTGAGCATGTTTTCCATTTCCCTGTACTTACATTATCCTCTTCTGGGGTTTTGGAATACTGGTATCCATCCTACTTTGTACTTCCTTTGTATTACTTCACTATGACTGGATGTTGTATGTTAATATGGAATTGCCAGAAATCCATTGATTGCAGAACAAGTTGTTTTTGCAGCTCAGCTTAAAAAATTAGCTGCATCTGAAATTACATAGTCTAACTACTACATTTGATGATACAATAAACATCACGGCCGTTAACAAAGTACTAGACATGCTATTCATTTTATGTACTGTTTTTTTGCCTACTATACTATATGTTAGGGAAGCAGGCATATTTGGACACGGCGATCTTTTTAGACTCAAGAGGAAGTTTTGACTTCTGAAACTTTCAGTATGTTTACATAAGACAGTGAAGTCTTTTGTTTCAAAAGATCAAGGAAAATTCTTTTTTCATGAAATAACCCACCGACTTTGATATTTTGAACTTGGTGTAGCGAATCAGCTCATAAGGGAAATATGAATAATTAATCATAACTAGTTATAATTAATTATAAATATTTAGATCCGCTGTAGATATTTACTTGACCTCTCAGGGTCAACTGTCTGTCAATTCTAAGAACGTTAATTTCCTGGTTAAGGGAAATATGGTCCAGACGCTACACTGGAAACTATCCGTACCAGATCCTTTGCAGTAAACTAATATTTATATTTTATATATATTTATATATTATATAATAATAATATACTGTGCTTTTCTAAAATATATAAAATTAAGAGCATTTCAAAAATCTGATTGTAATATTAATTAAAAATATATGTAGTGTAACAACAAGTTATATCAAACAAGGTGCAATATCAGCGCAAATTCAGTACATCCTTCACCAATCAAATTAGATGACTGGAACTGTTGCATAAAATATCTTTAGAAAGAGTCCAATGAATTTCAACCTCTCTTCCTAACCTCATTTATTTATTTCTTCACTCATTTATCCATTCCTCTATATTAGGAGTTGAAAATGTGACCATTCAGCTGGATTTGGAAGCCGAATTCCACTTCACACACCTCATCATGACCTTTAAGGTGAGAAAGACACTGTCACGCACACGCAAACACACTGAACTAGAGCAGTCTTGAGGAATGTAGAACATATGTGCAGATGTGTTTGAAGTTCTTCTCTTTAAGTCCAGAGCTGTGTTTCTGATTGTAAGTTGATCATAGAAGCCATTGGCGGCCTCTATGGCCTCCTTGCTAAGTTGCTACGATGCTTTTGAGAAACTTTTGCTGTTTTTAGTATCTGATCCTAAGTAAATTTAAACTTATTGCTTTTTTCCCACAGACCTTTCGGCCGGCAGCCATGCTGATTGAGCGTTCCGCAGATTATGGGCGAAGCTGGCAGGTGTACCGTTACTACGCTTTCCACTGTACTGAATCCTATCCGCACGTCCCTCAGGGGCCAATCAGAAAAGTGGATGATGTCATTTGTGACAGCCGCTATTCAGGCATTGAGCCATCAACAGAAGGAGAGGTGTGTAGTACTCATGCATAAACAAATATACACATAAGTACTTATACATACGATGCAAAAAGTAGTATTTAAACTCCTGAGTCACTGTTCTTGTATACTTGTACACAGGTCATTTTTAGGGCACTTGATCCTGCATTTAAGATTCCTGACCCTTACAGCCCACGCATTCAGAGTAAGTAAATCATGGCAGCAACCCTCTTGTTATTTGAAAAGATTTCTACTGGATTTTCACACAATTGTTTTTATTTTGACACCTCAGTCTTAACGTAAGAATGAATATAACCCCCATAGACGTTTGGTGCACCAAAGTATGAAAATAAATATACAAATAAAAATGACTTGCTTAAATACAAAAATAAATAAAATAAATGAAAATGCAAATAAAAATCACTCACTTTTCAGGAAAATTTCTTTAGCATTTAAAGCATATTAAAATGTTAAGCATTTAAAAAAACTAGTAAAAGCATAATATTTGATTTTTAATAAAAGTAACATTTAGGTAGAATCTGTTTTTTTTTGTTGTTTTATTGTAAACCATTAAAATGTAATGGTAAGGAATGGAATGATTAATAAATTAATTTAAATTAATTAATACATTTATTTATTTATTCTATTAATTTTGTTAAATTGATTAAATAATGTGATTATATTTAGTATCCTGATAAAAACTTAGGGACACGAATAGGGAACATCATTTTCCGAGAATGATTAAACTACAGTAGTCAACATTTGAAGTGCATCAAAAAAGTTAATCAAAGTTGTCCTAAGACAAGAACGGGTATTGTTTTAGTTTTAGGACAACTTTGATGAAAGGTTTTGATCCACTTCAAATGTTGACTACTATATAAATCAAGAGGGAAATTTAACTTGTACAACGACTACTTGTGTCAAAAAGCTGAGAAGTGAATTTGAAAAACAAAAAAAAAACAATTTGTTTTCTTTGAGTGTGTTTATATATTTTTGGTCTGACTACTGATATTTGTTTGTATGGGCGTTACCTGCATGTAGACTTACTGAAGATTACAAACTTGCGCATACGGATGGAAAAGTTGCACACTCTAGGTGATGATCTGTTTGATGACCGAGAGGGGGTGAAAAAGAAATACTATTACACTCTCTACGATATGGTCGTCCGTGGCAACTGTTTCTGCTATGGCCACGCCTCCAAGTGTGCACCGGTCGGCAATGAGGCAGGGGTCGAGGGCATGGTGAGTAAACAAAACAACAACAATCACAATCCAGATTCACTCGCACTACTCACCTGTGTCTGTGTGTGCAGGTTCATGGTCATTGCATGTGCAATCACCACACTACTGGACTGAACTGTGAAGAGTGTGAGGACTTTTACCAAGATCTGCCCTGGAGACCAGCAGTGGGTCGAGAGACAAATGCATGCAAGAGTATGACAGCCCACAGTTTATTACAAAACATAACAACATTATTTCCCACTGACATTTATGCATTCTGAAATGAAATGAAATGCTTTAAATTTGCTTAGTTCACTCATCTTTTTTCTTTCTCTCAGGATGTGAGTGTAACCATCACTCGTATTCCTGTCATTTTGACATGGCGGTGTATCTGTCATCGGGAAATAGGAGTGGAGGAGTGTGTGATGACTGTCAGCACAACACAGAGGGCCAATGGTGTGAGAACTGCAAACCCTTTTACTACAGGCACCCTGGCAGAAACATCAGAGACCCCAGGATCTGCGAGCGTAAGTGTGTTTAACACTTTAAAGTGGATAGATTTTGTTGTGTTACAATGCAGAAGGGAAGCTCTAAAGCTTTTTATGATGCATTACTTGAAGGCATGTTATGGGTTAAAGGTTTAGTTCACTTGCAGAATAAAAAGTTCCTGATAATTTGCTCACCCCGGTGCCATCCAAGATGTTCATGTCTTTCTTTCATAATTCGAAAAGAAATTAAGGTTTTTAAGGAAAACATTCCAGGATTTTTCTCCATATGGTGGACTTCAATCGGTTGAAGGTCCAAATTGCAGTTTCAGTGCAGCCGAGGAATAAGGGAAGGGTCTTATCTAGCCAAACGATTGGTCATTTTCTAAAAAAAAAATAAAGAGTTTAACCACAAATGCTCATCTTGCACTAGTTCGACCTCATGCATTACATAATAACGTTGGAAAGGTCACGTGTGACGCAGGCGTAAGTGTTTACAAAGCGAACGTGCAAAAAAAGGTCAAACGCTCTTTACAAAAAAAAAAGTAAAACAATGATGTCGGAGAGGAAAAAATAAGATGGAGTTTTTCACCCTACCCTACATTTTTGAACCGAAGTACACAGACGAAGAACTAACCGTCCGTGACCTTTCCAACGTGATTACATAATGCGTGAAGTTGTGGACGCGCATCTCAGAGCTAGTGCAAGATGGCCATTTGTAGTTAAAAAGTATATACATTTGTATTTTTTTAGAAAATGACAGATCGTTTCGCTAAATAAGATCCTTATTCTTCGGCTAGAGCCCTTTGAAGCTGCACTGAAACTGCAATTTGGACCTTCAACCTGGTGGCCACCATTGAAGTCCACTATATAGAGAAAAATCCTGGAATGTTTTCCTCGAAAAACGTAATTTCTTTGCGACTGAAGAAAGAAAGACATGAACATCTTGGATGACAAGGGGGTGAGTAAATTATCAGGAATTTTTTATTCTGTTAGTGAACTACTCCTATAAGAACAATTTAATTCAGAGTTAAATAATTAAAAGTACACTGGCTCTGCATATTAAACTGAGATAGAAGAAATTTTATTCATTTTATTTTATAATTGTGTAATTTGTTTGTATTTAGCCTGTGATTGTGACCCACGTGGTTCTCTGAACGGAGGCTTATGTGACAGCGCTACGGATGTTTTAAGAGATATGATTGCCGGACAGTGTCGTTGCAAAGCTAATGTGGAGGGACAACGTTGTGACCACTGTAAAAAGAGACATTATGGCCTCAGTGACGACCCATTAGGCTGTCGGTGTGCGTAAACACACACATATTCACACACCAGCAGCTTTTTTCATGTTTTTCTCAAGGCTTTGACCCCTGGCTTCCCCTAGGATCATGTTTGTTTTATCCTTTCTTTTGTGTGTGTTTTTGTAAACCCAGCATGCAGCTGTAATCCTCTAGGCACACTCCCAGCAGGAAGTCCCTGTGATATACAGACAGGAAGCTGTTACTGCAAACGTCTTGTGACTGGACGAAATTGTGACCAGTGTCTGGTAAAAGAGCGTTATTACAAGTTTATGTACAATCTGTGTATGTGTGCTTGTGCATAACACAGTTTTCCCTTTCAGCCGCAGCACTGGGGTCTCAGTAATGATATGGATGGCTGCAGACCATGTGACTGTGACGTAGGTGGGGCTTTGAATAATAAGTAAGTACCCACATAACAATAATTGATTATCATAACTAGCCTTTGTCAATTAATTTCTAATTGTTTTATTATAAAGGAATTAATCCAGGCCTACATAAATATTCTTCCTTATATTTTTGTTCTCTCTGTAGTTGTTCTCGGGAGACAGGACAGTGTGCTTGTAAGAAGCATATGTTTGGTAGGCGATGTGACCAAGTGCATTCTGGGTACTACTTTGCGGCACTGGACCACTATATTTACGAAGCTGAGGATGCTTCCTTTGGAGCGGTAAGTGTAACATTCGCCTTCATTCATGTAATACAAGCAGAATTTTTTTTCAACATTTAAAAATAAAAAGAATTTAGCATTTTAAAACTGTGACACGAATGTATTGAATGCGACAACTAATGTAACAATGATTTTATGAAAAAACTGCACATGACAGTTTACATAAGACTGCTTTTACAAACAATTTTGATCATTTAATTTGATGATTTATTAAAGGGGTCATATGATGTTGCTAAACAGAACATTATTTTGTGTATTTGGTGTATACAGTGAGTAGAGGCCGGGGGCTATGATTTTATGAACTAACTGAATGCAAAACTTTACAAGAAGTTTTATAAACAAATTAGGTGCAACAATTTATTTAAGAATAGTTTTACAATACAAATGAAATGCGCTTGTTTTTGTAAGAATGGTTTTACAAACTAATAGCAATATTTACATAAAAATGGTTACTAATTGAAAGTTACAATTTACATACAGTAATGTCATTAGGTCAGATTGAGTTAGACCTATCGGACTGCGCCATCTAGAGTTTCATGCCAGAACTCTGTATGTATTTTTAATACATTACTTTTTTTACTAGGGTATACACAGAAGTTTGTTCTGCTCAGTCTGCTGTTCTATGAATGATGCTCAATGAGTGTTTGAGTTCTTCACGGTAACATGTAACAGAACTAAATGTATTTGTATGAGTAAATTCAGAGTGTCTATTGATTGTATGCAGGAAGTAAAAGTGCTTCAGAGACCGTCATCCTTGGATCGTAAACCAACCTGGACGGGTAAAGGATTTGCAAATGTACCAGAGGGTGAAACACTGAGGTTCAACATTTACAATTTACCACGATCTATGGAGTACAACTTAATGATCCGCTATGAACCACTGGTAATAAACACACATACCATATTCAATTTAAAACTTATCTGCCACACAGGCAGCATACACAAATAAACACATGTGTTTGATGCATTTATTGTAGTTGCCAGATGAATGGGAGCAGGTTGTAGTACAGATAGAGCGGCCCAGAGGCACTTACCCAGCAGCACACTGCACTTCTACATACAACGATGAGCAGACCGTCTCACTGCACCCTGGATCCAGGTAAGGTTGCATTAGTGTGTGTGCAGAGTTTAGTTTACTGTGTATTTGACTCCTGAATGTGTGTTTGTGTGTTTCAGATATGCAGTTCTGCCTGGCCCAGTGTGTTTGGAGAAGGGTCAGAATTACACAGCGAAAATTAGCTTCCCACAGTACTCATCATACAGCTATCACTCTTCTCCTCACACACTTGTTGATTCAGTAAGTTTATTTAATGTATATATTGATTAAATTGATAGCAATTTTTGAATAAAAAATATTATATAATTTACAAATTATGTACAAATCAAGTGATCATATTTAGCTATACTTTATGAATAAAAAAAATACATATAATACATATGTAATGGTGATGGCTTTCCATTTGCCTTTAGTGGTTTTAATGATATTGTTAACCTCCATCACTAAACCAATCCTTTTAAAGACAACTTTTTGCATTTGTAAATTTTGATTAAAATTTTTATTATGGCTCATCGGGACCATTTATATTCCAATAATATATATATATATTTTACCACGCTGAAAAAAAATGTGTATTTATTTTACTTTAAATTTGGTGGATTTAATTTGAAATAATTTCACTCAGAAATTGCTAAATTTAAAGAAACAGCAAATAACACTTTAAATTAAACATGAAATTTTGAAGTAGAAAGACTGAAATAGTATTTTCTTCCAAAACATACTCAAATAACCTTTGTTTTATTTACAATTTTTGAAAAATCTACATTGCATGAATATAACATAAACCATCTCACATCTGCAATTACACACATACCCACTAATGCAAATCAATTTTTCCTCTAGCTCTACATTTACGACACAGTGGTTTATTACAATATTCATTCATATTGACTTAAACCTTGACCTCTGACTTCTGTAGATAGTGCTTTTGCCAGAGGTACAAGACCTGGATCTATTTTCTGGCGGACCCCAGCAGCGGGAGGACTGGGAGATGTTCCAGAAATACAGATGTATGGAACGCAGCCAGAGTGTTATTAAAATCCCCCTAATGGATATTTGCAGAGATTACATCTTCAGTGTGTCAGCACTACTACACAATGGAGCTCTTGGTGAGAAAGACAGAAGAATAACAAATGCAGCTAGATTCATTTAATACTAGAGATTTTCAAATTAAGTACCTGTTTATGCTTTTTTGAGTTTATATTTCCCACAATCTTTTGCTGCTGTTTTTGGGAAACCTACTTTAAAGCAATCATTATTTTGCTATTTAGTTTGGTAATGCTAGTGCTGCAGAAATTGCATACTTCAGCTTTAAAAGTACATTATTATTAAACTTGCTGCCCTATTTTCAGAGTTTTGCTGAATTGTCTCTCATTTATTGATCACTGGCAGAGTGTAAGTGTGACCCCCAAGGTTCTCTGAGCACAGTGTGTGACAATATCGGTGGGCAGTGTCAGTGTCGACCCAACGTTTTAGGAAGGAACTGCAACACCTGTGCCCCGGCCACCTACCTGTTTGGACCCTCAGGATGTAGACGTAAGTGAAAACTACACATATGCACACATACACAAACCAATTAACACCAACATATCCATTAGCATAGAATAACATCAACAATGTTTTTTTCTGATCACTTCTTCATTAGCATGTGACTGTAACCCACTGGGCTCTCAGAACCTATTCTGCCACCCCACCACGGGCCAGTGTTTATGCGTGTCAGGGGCATATGGGCAGCAATGTGGCAACTGTAAGCCCAACCATTGGGGCTTCCCTCAATGCCAGCCCTGCTTCTGTAATGGGAACAGTGAACAGTGCCACCCAGTTACGGGCGAGTGTCTGAACTGCAGGGGTCACACCACTGGCCACAACTGTGAGAGGTAAGAGAGGATAAAATATTGTTTAATAGGTCTGATACTGTACATATGATTTGGTAGTATAATGCTATTTTGATGCTATTTTTCACACTACATTTAAGGGATAGTTCACCTAAAAATGAAAATTACCCTATGATTTACTTACCCTCAAGCCATCCTAGTTTTATACAAATTTCTTCTTTCAGGTGAATACAGTCGGAGTTATATTAAAAAATATCCTGGCTTTATAATGGCAATAAATGGGTGTCAAGATTTTCAAGCCCAAAAAAGTGCGTCCATCCATCAAAAAAAAAGTACTCCACAATGGTTTTCCTTTGCTGTAAACAAAACTTTGTTCTTAAGCCCCGTTCACACCAAGAACGATAACTATAAAGATAACGATATTAGCGTCCACACCAGCGGACGATATCGTCTGTTTATTCTAAGCGCTCGCTCATCTGCCGCTTTAAATTCTCCAGCTCGTTACAGCAGGATGGATTCTGATTGGCTGTCAATATTTTTATCGTTCATCAGCTGGAAAAAATCGTTCTGAAAGTGATTCCAACGATATCGTTTCTCTGTGCCTTTATCGTTATTGCTGTGGTGTGGACTCTGCTATTATTTAATATTGAGAATGATTTTTAGAACTATATCTTTATCGTTATCTTTATAGTTATCGTTCTTGGTATGAACGGGGCTTTACGCTATGACTACATCCTATGTCATCCGCTGGAATGCCACTCTTTCGTGAATGCTCATAAGACAGTCAGTGGAAGCTAGAGATTACTAGAGTGGAAGCTAGAGGAAGATATAGGTTTAAATATGGATAATTTTCTTACACAAACACATCACTTCACTTCAGAAGGCCTTGTGGAGCTGTATGGAGCACTTTTTATGATGGATGGATGCACTTTTTTGGGCCTTAAAATCTCGACCCCCATTCACTGCCATTATAAAGCATGGAAGAGCCAGGACATTTTTTTTTTTAAATATACAGTAACTCCGATTGTATTTATCTGAAAGAAAAAAGTCATATATACCTAGGATAACTTGAGGGTGAGTAAATCAATAGGGTAATTTTCATTTTTGGGTGAACTATCCCTTTAACAGTGGGTGAACTTATTTTTTTAAACCCTGGGTAAGGACAAGTTTTTAACCTTTTATTATGAAATTATGAAAAAAGTGGTGAGTTAGCACCACTTTTGTGGCTTTGACCCTGAATTGTGGTACCAAAAATAAAGTATATCATGTGAAAATGTTATAGTGGGTTGTTCAGCAAGGGACACTCAATCATAAACCTTAGTCCTTAAGTCATTAAATATTCATGCACTTTGTGCAGTTTTAAAAATCGTTTAGTATCCTTGTCTGAGCAAAACAAAAGAGTGATGGAGTGATGAAGAGATACTTTTATTAAGACAGCAGATGTAACATTTTAACAGTTAGACAAGCAGTTATTAAAACAAGGTGCAGGCTCATTGTTTGCTGTATTTTTGCTGTAGAGTTGACCATAATTGCATAGACTCCCCATAGGCCATGTGGCGCAGCTCAGTGTCTGGGCTCAATGGGCCACATAGTGCAGCTCTGGGCTCAGTAAGCTCTTTTGAGAAGCCAATTATTTAAGATATATCCTGGTTGTGCATTTAAAGTGGTAAATATTTAAAAATGTTGTTGTATTGGTTTTAAGTATAGGTTAGTCATAATTGTTTATATTGAAAGTTTATTTCAATGAAAAATTATTTCCATTATTAGTTCATGAAAGGTGACTTTTATTTTAAAGATGAATGTTTTGTGTGATGTGTATGTGTGTGTTTATACCAGTATGTATAATTTTTATATTTTTTAAGGCATTTTATGACATTGGGGTTGCTAGTGTGATACTCTACTGTTTAAGCTACATTGAATATTTAATAAAGATGCTTGTGTTTCTCGAAACCCTCTGTTCCAGGTGTGAAAGTGGTTATCACCGTAACACGCTGCTGGGCTCCAGTGAGCCGTGTCGCCCTTGTATGTGTCCTAACGGACCTGGAAGTGGAATGCAGTTCGCTGAAAGCTGTTACCAAAATTTCAACTCTCTCCAAATGGTGTGTGTCTGCAGCTCAGGCTACAAAGGTGAATACAGCAGTCTGAGAAATTAACAGAACAAGCTATTATTTAAAACTCACATAAAACAAATCTCACTCCTGTTCCATCCTATAGGACCAAAGTGTGAGGAATGTGCCTCTGGTTACTATGGTAACCCTCAGGTCCCAGGAGGGCGGTGCCATCCGTGTCAGTGTAACAGAAATATTAACATGCAGGACCCTGAATCATGTGACGCCCGCACTGGTGCCTGTCTCAAATGCCTGTTTCACTCCGATGGCAATGCGTGCCAGTACTGCAGTCGTGGTTATTATGGAGATGCCCGTACTCAGAACTGCAGGAGTAAGTATACAGTCTAAACAAGTGTGTGTTTTTGTTTAAAAATCCATCCATTTTCAGTGCTCTTTTAGTATGTGGTATATGCTAGTTGTTCTATGTTAGATGTCCTATGATAGAGAAAAGAAGGTCTGTCATGACAACTCTCGGAGTGATTTGCATGGTAATATACATGACAATGTTAATGTATTTGGTCTTGGCGGAATATATCTGATAGAGCAAGTACCAAGACTTGCCACTGCCAATACATCCACAACATGCTGCCGTGAGCATGTAAGAAATATTGCTGATCCACATATAACATAGCATACATGAATCACCCCGTAGCAGATCTATACAGGTGGAGCTAGGGTAGGTGGAGGGTTTCTGAAGTGCGCTGCTACTGCTATAACAAACACTAGCCAAATATTTGAATGTTGAGCAGCGAACTCATTGGCTACCGATACAGGAGAGAACCAATCAGCTGTGAATAATGATGTCATTATGTCATATTGTGTTAGATCTATCGGACTGTGCCATCTAGAGTTTCATTATAGAACTTTGTATATATTTTGAAGAATGTTTCAGCTGTCTTTGTCCATGCAATGAAAGTCAACGGGGTCCAAAAGAACAACTGACTTTTCAAAATATCTTTGTCTGTGGTCCACCAAAGAAACATTGGCAGAATCTTTATTTTTGAGTGAGCTATGAAAGAGCAACCTCTGAGCAACATAGTTTTACCCTTCAAATCATCTTTTAGCTATTGTGAGGCCTTTTTTGTTTCGTTTTGTCGTCAGGATGCATGTGCCATCTCGTGGGAAGTTCCAGGCAAAGATGTGTTGACGGCTTGTGTGAGTGTGACAGGGTTAGTGGCCAGTGCCCATGTCTGCCCGGTGTGGTGGGTCAGCACTGTGACCGCTGTGCCCCCAACACATGGAACATAAACAGTGGCAAAGGATGCCAACCTTGCCAGTGCCACCCTGAACATTCTTACACGTCCTCCTGTGATCTGGTATGAACACACACATCTTAATTTAAATCATATATAAACTGAATCACAAACGAAACACTTTTTTGCGTATGTTTATGCTCGTCTCAGCTGACCGGTCAGTGTTCCTGTAAACCTGGTTTTGGAGGCAGGACGTGTGAGGAGTGCAGGGAACTGTTCTGGGGGAATCCTGAGGTCCAGTGCCATGGTGAGTCTGCACTGCGTCATTAAAACTGCTCCGTGCGGTGCTGTCAGTGCAGTTGAGTAGCACATTTACACCCTCAATTTAAAACTCACTAATAGCAGAGTTTTCATGAACACATTTGCATGCAATTTTTGGCATAAATTAATGGATGGAAACACCAAGATGCAAATAAATATTCCAAATTCAGAAAAAAATAATCCCTTTCATTTTCATTTCTATTTTGCATCTGTTTTTTCTTGACACTTCTTTATTCACAAATTGGTTTTTATTTCTTATTCATTCATATTTATTTATTTTTTTTTTACTTAGAAGTCTAATGATTCAGGAATTTCTCATGTTTTTTTTTAACATGGTTTGTATACAGAGTGGAGGTTCAGACATACAACATAACCAATTTTGCATGTAATAATGAGAAAAAATCATGCGTTAAGATTTTATTTGCAATATTTCCTTATTTTCTTGACAATATAACACGTTCTGCACCCAAATTCTTATAATTGTAATGCCTTTGAATGTATTACTTTCGAGGTTTTGTAGTTATCCTCAGTGACAACCCTAGATTTATTATTTCTATTTAAAAATAAAATTATAAATAAAAAGATTATTTTTCAATGTAACTACACTGTAAGAAAAACAATCCATAGAAATGTATCACAAAAAAATAAATAAAATAAAAAATCAATTTGTAAATAAAGCAGTGTTTCCGTTTAGTGTGGTCAAGAAAACATTTTCAGAGAAAATGATGCAAAATAGAAATGAAAATGAAAGCGATTACATTTTTATATTTTTTTTATTTTATTTTGGAATATTTATTCACATCTTGGTGTTTCCATCCATTAATTTTCATGTACTATACTAAGTTAGCATTAAAATGTGTTGATGTAAACCCCTGTCAAAAATAAACAAGGAAAATTCCTTCATATAAACATTGGACATTGGGCCCTATTTAGACTTTTCTAAGAGTGTATTATTTAAAAAAATATACAGTTTCTCTGGAAACTATTATTTTGTTCTCTTGAACACATTAGATGGAAATGCTTATTTCATGTATTTTTTTGTGATATTGTGATTAATTTGCAACTTAGATGAGAACATAGTTAATAATTTATAAATTCTCATGCATTTGTTAACATGACCTCAACATCAAGTAAAGATTTCCGACCAGACTGAACTAATTTGTCATGAAGCAATGACAAAAAATTGTGCATGAAGATATGCCTGATACGTATGAAAAAAATGAAACAGCTGACAGTGTAAACGTGGCATAGAACACATTAACCACATACATATGCAAACTAACATACTCTCATGGAGAAACTACCATCTCCAATTAGTTAACTTTTATTACCTTATATTGTAGAATTCCAGAAAGTCTTAATCATGCTTGCACCTTATTTCCGAGAAATCTCCAAAACTTTTGCCAGCAGTTGATTTTAATGTGATCTGGTTCTATTTATGTGAGAATTTCTAAGTATTCCTTATTCTTGTGTTACTCAAATGCAACATAGCATCCAAAGTCATAATGGATTTCTCCTATACACAGTTAAAAAGCTACCAGACAATGTTTCCGTGGTACGCTGACAAAGTTTCCCTTGTGAGACTGGGCTGTTACAAACAAATACATGCAGAACAGACTGAACTAATTTGTCATGAAGCAATGACAAAAAAATTGTGCATGAAGATATGCCTGATACGTATGAAAAAATTGAAACAGCTGACAGTGTAAACGTGGCATAGAACACATTAACCACATACATATACAAACTAACATACTCTCATGGAGAAACCACCATCTCCAATTAGTTAACTTTTATTACCTTATATTGTAGAATTCCAGAAAGTCTTAATCATGCTTGCACCTTATTTCCGAGAAATCTCCAAAACTTTTGCCAGCAGTTGATTTTAATGTGATCTGGTTCTATTTATGTGAGAATTTCTAAGTATTCCTTATTCTTGTGTTACTCAAATGCAACATAGCATCCAAAGTCATAATGGATTTCTCCTATACACAGTTAAAAAGCTACCAGACAATGTTTCCGTGGTACGCTGACAAAGTTTCCCTTGTGAGACTGGGCTGTTACAAACAAATACATGCAGAATGTTTAAACTGGTTGGAAAGTATATGCATACGTGTTTATTTGTGTCAGTGTGATTTATTCTCTTCTCTCTAATATTCTACAGATAGAGTTCAAGAGACCCAGAGCTTATTTGAATAAGGGTCTGCTGTTACTTTTAGTATAAGTGTGTATGAGTATTCTTGTTGAACTATAACCAAACAAACAATATCTCTTTTCCTGCTTTCTATCTTTAAACTTAAGTAGATTATAATGGTTTGGGGATAATGACTCCGTTTACATGCGCAATCTTTGATTTGATCGAATAAACACCTTTAACGGTTTTCTTTTGCCAGAGAAAGATCATAAACCTGATATACAGTTAAAATGTTGTGTTTGTTTATGTTTCAAAGTCAAGAGTAAATAAAAAGAGGAGGAGGAAATTCCAATGGAGACACAAAAACTCTCTTAATACCAAAATAAAAAAGGGTGAAAATTCCCATAATATTCCAAAGGAATGTTATGAACCAAACACTGTTTATAACCAAAAAATAATAATAATAATAATATTTTATCATTAAAATCAGTTGTTTTGTGTTCATACTAGTGCTATTTTAGTATCATTCATATACTGTGTTAATATTTTGAATAAGATTTGATTTTTATATTTTCTGTTTCAATTTGAATTTAGTTCATTTTGTTGGGTGTTTTTGTCATTTTTATTAGTTTTTATATAGTTTATTTAGTTTTAGTTAGACTTGTTGGCCTTGTCAGCTAATTGAAATAAAATCAATAAAAAAATTTTTATATATTTTATTTCAGTTAATTTTTATTTTAAGTAATTTTTTATATTAATATACTAATATACTAATAACTAATAATTAAATATACTAATTAATATATAGACGCGAGATTAAACTCGTAAAATTTCGAGAAAAATGTCAAAATGTTGAGAATAAACTAATTTTATTTTGACTTTTTTTTTTTCCGAAATTTAACCTTTTTTTTTTTTTCTCGAAACACGACTTTATTCTCAAAATTTAAAGAGTTTATTCTCAACATTTTATTTCGACACTTTTCTCGAAATTTAACAAGTTTTTTCTCGAAACACAATGACTTTATTCTCGAAAATTTAATGAGTTTATTCTCAACATTTTATTTCGACACTTTTCTCGAAATTTAACAAGTTTTTTCTCGAAACACAATGACTTTATTCTCGAAAATTTAATGAGTTTATTCTCAACATTTTATTTCGACACTTTTCTCGAAATTTAACGAGTTTAATCTCACATTATAATGGCTTTAATCTCGAGATGGTTTATTTATTTATTTTTCTTGGGCCTAATCCTCTTCCGTTGTTTTCCCTCTGCCGTAATGAGAATACTTTTTTTACATAACAATATTAAACGGTATAAAATTTAGTACTAATAATTCAAAATAATTATGCTAAGAATAGTCTTATTTTTTCATATTTTTCTTTTAGTTTTGGGGTTAAATATGATCCAGACATGGTCTTTAGGAGATTCACCCAAACACACATATTTCCCAGTTTCTTCACATAGTATATCATGCGTGGTAATAAGCAGATGTGTTCTCACACATTCCAGCGCACACACACGCATTCAAGAATTCATTGTTCCTTCCAGCACTCACATCCAAGATTTTAAATCATAAGAATTTTGGCATCATTTCATTTTTTAAATCATTTGTGCATGTTTGTGTTCCAGCATGCAACTGTGATCCTCGAGGCATTGCTACTCAGCAGTGTAATATGATGACCGGCGAGTGTGTGTGTGTAGAGGGTGTAGCCGGGCGGAGGTGTGACTCATGTGGACGTGGCTACGTTGGGACCTTTCCTGACTGCGAGGCCTGTCATCTGTGTTTCCGTGAATGGGATGTTAATGTGGGAGAGCTGACCAATCACACGCAGAGACTGGTGGATACAGTGGAGGAAATTAAAGAGACTGGCGTGGCTACGCCCTATAAAGACATCATATCGAGTCTGGATGATGAAACCAAACAGCTCAGACAGATTCTGGAAGATGACAAGGTTCAGCAAACGCTCACACACATGCAGAGGATGCTGCAGCAAGCCAAGTGTGTATTACACATTCACACTCATATCACTCCCGTTTTCTTTTTATATACTCTCCTCTCACCTTTAAAACTGAAAAAGAAATCGCTATTATTTTCCAACCAATGAGACCAGATGGTTTATACCCGCTGTAGAATAGGTCATTGAAGGATGGCACACAAGTTTTTAATACTAGGAGAAGATCCTCCAACATGTTCTCTCTGCCAAAACCCTTTATCCATGAAGCATGTTTTATTAGATTGCGCTGGTTTTAACCCTGTGAGAAAACGTTTTTATTCGGTTAACTCTTTTGAAGAGATTTTTAAGCCAAATACAGTTTTAGAGTAAATTTACAGTTTTAAATAAATTGTAAAAACCTGATATAATTTAGCCATACATTTTTCTCACCATGAAAAAAGCCACAGAAGCTAGCATGGCATTAAACACAAACGAACCAAACCCCTTTAAAGCAATAGTTTTTCAAAAAATAATCAATAATCAATAAAAATCATGTTCATTGTCTCTGTAGGGGAATTCATTTTTAATTATAACTTACAAACTGTTAAATCTGTACAAGTGTTGATCATTGGTATATGCTCCTATTAAAAAAAGAAAGGATTTTTAAAAAATCTTTTGTAAGTATTTATGGTAAAACGGCATAAATGTAGGTCATACAATTTGTGCATTAGTAAAAAAAATGTTGTCAAATACAAACATTTATGATTGAAGTCAGATTTGGGTCATGTGAACCCAAAAGTGAAAAATGAAAACTCAGATGGGAGCTTTTGATGTTTTCATCAAAGACTCTTGGTGTAGAAATTATTCAGGAAAGGATAAGGTATGTACTCCTGATCCTGAACTTATATGTTTAAGTCTAAGACCTTATTATTTGCCAAGAGACAATGGAAATATCTTCATCTGCGCCGTATATATTCCGCCCAGTAGGGATGCATCAAAAGCTGCTTCAAGGATAGCTGATTGTGCATCAGCAATTACAGAACAAACCTGATGCACCGATATTTGTATTAGGAGATTTCAATCATTGTACGATGGACTGTGCACTACCATGGTTTCAGCAGTATGTTTGTAATGGTACAAGGAAAAATAAAATATTAGATAAATGTTATGGTAACATCAAAGAAGCATATGTAGCTAAGATTAGGCCTCCTCTTTCAAATTCGGACCATAATACCATCCAGTTAATTCCTATTTACAGGTCTGCTTTTAGGAAGAGTAAACCGGTTTTAAGAACAGTTAATGTGTGGCGGGACACTACAAAAGAGGAGTTGAGTGGTTGTTTTCTAGCTACAAATTGGGACGTTTTTTTTCAAGATGACAATATTGACAGTATTGCGGAAGCGATTACAGGGTATATTCATTTTTGTGTTGATACTGTGGTCCCAAAAAGACCATTAAGATCTATCCAAATAATAAGGAATATATTACCCCCGAGATTAAGCAATATATTAGGAGGAGAAATCAAGATTTAAAACATAATAATACAATGGAGTTCAGAGAAATTCCAAGGGAACTAAGAAGAAACTTGAGGGAAGCCAGAGAGCAACATAATTTACGTGTTAGAGAAGCTATTTCAACTTCAGATTCTAAAAAGCTGTGGGATGTTGTGAGAGGAATGATCCATTTAAATTCAAATGAGAAAGAAATACAGGTTTTAAAGGAATTTGAAAAAGCAGATGAATTTAATAACTTTTAAATTCGGTTTGAACTGGCTGGGAGTGGTAGTATTGATAAATGTAGAGATTTGCTTAGTTCAGTAACATGTGATTTCGCACAGGATAGGATTGTAGTGGACCCAAGTTGTCACTAAAATCTTTAAAAGGCTGCATACCAAAAAATCCAGTGAGCCGGATTGTATTTCAGCTCTTTTACTTAAAACATTTGCTGATGAATTAACCCCAGCCTGGAGTCCATTATTTCAATTATCACTTCCAGACACTGGAAATATTCCTATAATATGGAAAAAATGCAGTCGTTATTCCTGTTCCAAAAAAACATCCAGCACTGGAAAATAATGACTTTAGACCATGAGTGGCGTTAACGTCCATAGTGATGAAATCACTTGAACTTATTGTGACAGAGAAATTGAGAGAGAATGTATTGTATATAAAGTAGATCCTTATCAATTTGCTTATAAAGAAAATAGGAGTACAGAAGATGCTTTGAATACTATGACACATTTTATTCTAAAACACCTTGAAAATCCTGCAGCTTATGTTAGAGTGATGTTTATGGATCTGAGTTCAGCGTTTAATACTCTACTTCCAGATATTGTGTTATTTAAGTTAAAACAGATGGAGGTGAACCCTTATAATTAAATGGAATTATGCATTCCTAATTGGACGACAACAGAAAGTGTTTTTTGAAATTAATTCAACTTTCTCTGATATATTGGTCACAAATGTTGGAGTTCCTCAAGGCTGTGTAAGCTCCCCCCTTCTTTTTACATTATATACAAATGATTGTAGAAATCAGTACACAAATAACTTTATTATCAAATGTTTCAGATGATACAGCTATACTCAGTTTGCTGACAAAGAATTCAGATGTTGTATGTATAAATTACAGATAGAAGGGGTTGTGCGGTGGTGTGAGGAACACAACTTGATGTGAATGTTAAAAAAACTAAAGAAATGATCGTTGACCCGAGGTTGGTGGGTGATCATAGTCCAACTTTAGTTAATAAGGAGGAAGCTGAGCAGGTAACAACATATAAGTATTTAGGTATTTACTTTGATTCTCAGCTGCAATGGAGTCATCAAGTGGACTATGTTTGTACACGAGCTAGTCAGCGCCTGCATTTTTTGCGAAGGCTCAAGGTTTATGGGGTGTTATTGTTTTACAGATCAGGTATTGAAACTATAATACGTTATGGTTTTACAATATGGTTTGGCAAAATGTGGTTAGAAGAGCAGGAAAAATAATTGGTATGTTGTCCCCACTTTCTCTTCAGGACATTTTTGAGAGGTCTGTTAGGAAGTCTTAAAATTATTGGTGACCCAAGCCATATTCTCCACAAGGAGTATGAGCTGATGCCCTCAGATAGGCTACCAAATTGTAAGATGAATAGGTACAAATTTTCTCTAATTCCATTATCTATCACATTTTTAAATAATAAGTGACTGAAATTGTTGTGTGGGTGAGGGTAATGTGATGGGTAATATGTAATGTTGGTGTATTACTAGGATGGTGTAGGAGTGATAAATGTGGTTTTGGAAAGTTTTTTTTTTTTTTTGGTGAAGTGTAATTGAATAAGTGTATTGTTGTAAGTTTGATCTGCTCTCTGGATTGCCTAAGACAAATTTCTCCTGGGGGAGATAATAAAAGAGAAACTTAACTTAAAAACAAAATTCAGGCAACCCTACTAGTTGATTCTGAAAATACATAGTTTTGCACATGCCTAAAATGAGCATACCATTAATATTTAGTTGATCTGGATGTGTGAAAACAGCAGTGTAAATGGAAAATGGACTGAGTCTCAGAGTCACAACAAAAATGGACCAAACAGATCCGAGTCTGCTTTCAAGACCAGGGTTAGTGTGTGAATGCAGTTCTTTTTCACACTTTCTGATATTTCAGTTTCTTTCTTCTGATCTTAGTGAGACAGCATCACTCCTGAGAAAGTCTATGGACCGATCTGTAACAGATCTGGAGAAGGTATCTGCTGACCATCAGCAGGCCGTGGAGAACCTAAAAAGCCTGACTGAGGAGGCCCAAAACCTACAAGAGATCTCCTCTGACAAACAGCAACAGGTTCTGAATATTAAACATTCAGACCCCAGAGGTGAGCAGAGCACACAAAAAATACAGGTTTAAATTTAAGACACACGTGGTGTTATCTGAAGTGTGTGCTGATCATCTCCTGTAGGTGCGGCGGACAGCATCAGAGAGTATTACAGGGAATCTGGCGAGGCCGAGTTTCGTGTCAATCAAGCTGTCTCTGACCCAGAAAGTACAGTTAAAGAGTCTGCCCAGATACGGAAAGCTGCAGAGGCCAAATTAGACAGCACAGAGAAAGAATTTAACCTGAAACATCAGCTGCATTTACAGAGGCTGGACAAAATTGGATCTGAACTGGACTCCGCAGACCTTTCACGACTAAGCCATCAGGTAATTAAACTACATTTTAAAAAAAATCAACTACTTAGTGGGTTATCTAAATGGCTAATCAGTAAGTTGGTCTTAAAGGGATAGCTCACCCAAAAATTCCGAAAATTCTGTCATTAATTACTCACCCTCATGTTGTTCCAAATCTGTAAGACCTTTGTTCATCTTCGGAACACAAATTAAGATATTTTTGATGAAATCTGAGAGCTTTCTGACCCTCCATAGACATGTTCAAGGCCCTGAAAAGTAAGGACATTGTTAACATAGTCCATGTGACATCAGTGGTTCAACCATAAGTTGTGGAACTATGTCTGATGTCACTACTGATGTCACATGGACTATTTTAACGATGTCCTTACTACCTTTCTGGGTCCTGAACGTGTAAGTTGCGTTGCTGTCTATGCAGGGTCAGAAAGCTCTCGGAGTTCATTAAAAATATCTTAATTAGTGTTCCGAAGATGAACGAAGGTCTTACGGGTTTGGAGCAACATGAGGGTGAGTAATTAATGGCAGAATTTTCATTTTTGGGTTAACTTTCCTATTAAGCCCCAATTTTTTGGGAGGCGTTCACATTGCACACATTGTGTTTAGTAGTAGCTATTTTAAACTTGGCACAAGACACTGAAAAAAAAAAATTATAGAAATTACACAATGATCAAACACGACCTCTCATGATGGGAACATTTTAGTATTATTTATAACCGTTTATAGTGTCCCTTAAACGTTGCCGCTTCAAAAACCATGCAAAACAAATACGACGATAATCCATACGACCTCTGTTGATGTATTAATGTCTTCTGAAGAGATACGATAGGTGTACGAAAAATACAAACATTTGAAACTTTTTAAACTATTAACGGTCATATGAGTTCACGCTTGACGTAAACATCAGCACATTTTGAAGATTAATATTTAAGTTTGTTGTAAGTTTAAATTTAAGTTTTAGTCATTTTAGTACTTATTTCAGTTAGTTAATCCTTCATTTTTATAATAATTCAAGTTTTAGTTATAAGTAATGTCACTGATCTAGACTCATTATTGGAGGAACATTTTTGGGCAACTTTAAAGGAATCAGCATGCGTTACTATTTTGGTGCTTGTGCTAATCAGTTCTCAGAAACATATCCTACTTATAGTATAGTACTTCTCAGAAATATTAGTCAAAATCCAATGTGTCCAATGTGCTGCTCATTATTTTAATGTATCAAACCTATGTTTTGATGAGTTATAATATCAGATGTGTAAATGTGTGTGGAGGTGTGCGGAGGGGCGTCAGGTCTAGATGGTTGCGGTAACTGTGGTGGTCTGGGATGTGTGAGCGAGGATGGCACATCCCAGTGTGGTGGGGAAGGATGTGAGACCATTGTGACACGATACCAAAAGGTCTTGAACGAAGCCAAAAACTCAGACCAAGAGGTCCTGCATGCTTTAAGAGAAGTAGACGAGCTAAACAAGATGGTAAGTATTTGCAGCAGTATTAACTATTATAACTTAATTTATTTATTAAGTCCCCTGAAATCCATGTATATATTCACATTACTATTTAAAAGTTTTGGGTCAGTATGATTTTTCTTTTTTTTTTGCAAGAAATTAATACTTTTATTTAGCAGTCGCATATTAAATGGATCAAAAGTGACAGTAAAGCCTTTTACATTGGAAATTGTAAACAATTTCAAATAAATGTCAAAATACTCTGGGAAAAAAAACATATTAAGCAACACAACTGTTTCCAACATTAAAGTTTTAACAAAACTTCGATAAGTATGGGCATGCATAAGGACATGCATGTGTGTGTTTTTTTTTAGGTGTCAGATGCTCGAGGACGTGCGGATGAGGCCAAGCTCAATGCTCAGGATGTGTTACTGAGAGCCAATCAGAGCAAAGCACGAGTGGAGCAGACCAATGAGGAGCTCAGAGACCTCATTCATCAAATACGAGACTTCCTCACAAGTATGAATTGTCAAATATGTGACCCTGGAGCACAAAACCAGTCTTAAGTGTCAATTTTTCAAAATTTAGATTTATAAATCATCTGAAAGCTGAATAAATAAGCTTTCCATTGATGAACAGGTGCATCTCAATAAATTAGAATGTCGTGGAAAAGTTCATTTATTTCAGAATTCAACTCAAATTGTGAAACTCGTGTATTAAATAAATTCAATGCACACAGACTGAAGTAGTTTAAGTCTTTGGTTCTTTTAATTGTGATGATTTTGGCTCACATTTAACAAAAACCCACCAATTCACTATCTCAACAAATTAGAATATGGTGACTGTGGTCCAGGGTCACATATAGTAAACACTCACACTTTGGCTGTGCTGAGAATAGCATATTAACAAACTTTCTTCAAACACACAGTATGTATAGTGTGCAAGGAATGCAGATCTGCATGAAATGTCACTACATTTGTAAAAAGTATAAAAGCTTTAGATTATACCCATTATGTATTTTGCTACAAACCCCTGATATCATACATAAATGATGTCACAAATACAGTAAAAATCTAAATATTGATGTTAGAAACTTAAATCTATTTGTTTGTGTAGACGAAACTGATCCGAAGCGTATAGAGGAAGTAGCTGATGAGGTGATGAAACTGAGTTTGCCAGTGTCGCCCGGTGCACTAAAGAACGTGACCACAGAGATCCGCCAACATGTGGCCAGACTGACCCAGGTGGAGGATATTCTGACCCAGACGGCAGAGAATGCGCATACTGCAGAGAGACTCCTGCAAGAAGCACAGGCTGCCAAGTGAGTAATCACATACACACTTATAGACATTACACTTTCAAAATATACTTTTAAAACCCACTAGTTTATTTTATCTGTCTACTAACAATGTCCAACAGTGGATACAAAACCAAGATTCTCAACCTTTTTGACTCCAAGGCCCCTCTTTGTCCAAGACAAAGGCCTTCGAAAACCCTGCTATCTATGTTGATTTATGGTAATAAAAATAGAGATATAATGTCAGTGTAATGCTCTATTTTTAGTGTGTTTTTTTTAACCTTTTTACTTAAGTTAGTTAACTAAACAAATATAACTGAATTCAAATCATTTTAAGACTACTATCATAGCTTGACTGGAAATGACACACTAATAAACACTTTTTTGATTTTTCTGTTTTCACACAGCATATGTATGTGTGATATTTGATTGATTTTCACACAGTAAATATTGAAAATATATATTTATATTTCACTCTTTTTTTAGATGATCATAGTTTGATGAAACTTCAAGACAGTCTAAACTTAAAAGGCATTTGAAAAGTAGCAAAAATACATGATGGTATGGTAAAAAACAAGAATATTTTAAAGTGACCTTCAAAAAATACATCATGTTATATGTACTGTAATAAAATCCCATCCTTGATTACATAACCGTGTGTTTTGTGTGTGTGTCACAGTGAGACAGCTACAGCACTGAAACAGGCCACTGATGAGGCGAAGGAAACTCTAGAGGACACTGAGCGCGCTCAGACTGCTGCCGGCGAAAAACTGAAAGAGGTTGAGAGAGACGTGAACCAAACAAAACAACAAATCACTGATGTGAGTATTTATACCTTTAAAATCCCTATGCGTCCTTTAAACATAATCAGTGTTTTTTTTACTTCTTTTTAACAAAATGCGTGTGTCTACAGGTACAATCAAAAACCGAAGCGACTGAGTTCAAACTAAGTAGCAGCACAGGAAGGTTTCTGGATCTTGAGAGAGAGGTTGACGAACTCCAACAGAAAACTCTAGAAACATCCAGCAGTGCAGATGAAACTCAGAGACAAACTGAGTACATCACAGCAGAAATTGACCACACAGAACGGGTAACTGGCTTTTAACAGTGATGTTCTGTTCATTTATTCAAAAATCCATTCAAATGAAGTTTACACATACAGATACTTGAATACTATGCTAAACATGTTTTTAATTTATGTATTAAAATACATTTTGATATTGTTTTGGGGGACATAAAATTACAAATACTGGAGTGATACAACTGTCCTGATATTATGATGAAGAACAAAGAAGGAATGTCTAGAAAATACAACTTTATCAAGTAGTTTAGCATAATCATTTATTATTATTCCTTATACATATAAAAAAATGTCAATGCAAGGTTAGTTCAGGTAAGAAATGTGATGGAACTCTTCCAGAGATTCATTATATTTTTACCTTGAAAAAACTATACTATAGATTTAAATATATTTAAGGTGTAAGGAAAATATTACTTTTTACTTGATGGATACACCACATTCATTCACCACGGCCATTAAATTGATACTTTTCTTGAATACATATGATTATACTCTCTTATACACTTTTGACCCTAGGCTGCATTTGTATATTTGTGTATTTTAGGAGATTGACTCACTCGTGCAACCTAAGTACCAACTGGCCAATGGTCTGATAGATCAAAAGGCAGCAGGTGTGGTTGATGCACGTCAGAAGGCCGAGAAACTACGCCAGGAGGCAAAAGATCTATTAATAGATGCCACAAGCAAACTGCAGAGACTGAGAGGTACAACTGCTCCCAGATTTGAAGATTAGATTATAGATTTACCTATGATTCCTCACTTTTCTTCCTCTTTAACTCTTCCAGAGCTGGAGAGATCATTTGTGCTAAATCAGCACATTCTGGTGGAGAAAGCTCAGGAGCTGGATGGACTGGAGAATGAGGCCAGAGATGTACTGCAAGAACTCAGTCAGAAAATCACCATCTACAGCACCTGCGCTTAACTACCAAGAACTAATAAATAATATAATAAACTCAGATTATAATCAGTTGTATATTATCAAAAATATGTTGCCTGAATCCAATTCAAGGTATCACATTGAAAAAGCAATGTAAGATTTTACTATGACCCTTTAATGTATAGCTATATATTTTTGTCTTTTCTATGAAACTATGAAAAAACTCATCCAGTGTATTGTGTCTGATATGAAGAATATTGCAGTGTGTAATAATACTCGACAAACATTCCTCTGGGCGGAATAAGAGGAAGCACCATCCATTGTGAACAGCAAATCAGTTTAGATTTGCTTGATAAAACTAATGGTGACAAATGAAATGCCAAAATAAAAATTCCATCAGTTTGTGATAATGAAGCTATAAACCACTGTGGCTTATTGTTTTTATTACTTTCATAAAACTGTGGAAACAGCAAAATGATGAAAACAACTATTGTACGATGTTTATTAAACATTTAAACGCATTAACTGATAATACAATAATCATTTAATAATAATAAAGCTTGAGTCAATTGAATATATAAATTACGTCTTCTCTAACTGTCGGTTTCATTTGATCGATTTCGATGGTGATGTTGCCGTTATACATATCTATGATTTTGCTGAAATCGGAGACAAAAAAAGCCCGTAAAATGACAAACGCAATGAGAGACTAACTCAAAAGTAAGGTAAACAGGTTTGCTTCTACAAAAACGAAACGACAGATAAACGTTAACCAGTGTTGTGGAGTAGCGAACTACAAGTATAGCGACGCTGTTAGCTTAAAATGTACAAGCAAATTACTATTTATTTATTTTCCCAATAATTCAACCATTTTACAACATCATCAGTAGAATATGTTCTAGCAATATTCACTCTTTTGAGTCGGTTTTTCTCAATAAATACGTCAAACGGAAAGCTAATCAATACATTTTGGTCTGAGGCTCAGACTGAATCACTTCACTCAAGTACTGAATCGTTTGAGGTAAATTCGATGTCAAATAGTCTTTTCGGATTTAAAAGCTCGGTCTGTATTTCTAGCCCGGAGTTTTGTTAAATATAGTGGAGTGTACTGTCATGCTTTTAAGTTTATTATTCCACTGAGTCTGACGACATGTTAATTGAAGCTTTTTTTCCTGTAGTTTCATACCGGAGTTCATCATGCTCAGTTTCCTTCATCAACCACAATAGGGCGACAACCATCTGAAAGTCGCTGAAGAAAACGCTTTATCAGTGACCTTTGAAAATAATGAAAGACATTCAACGCTTCAGGTCTCGCAAAGGATTATCTTTCAGGTAACTAATGTCAAACAGCACAGGCAGTGTTATATAAAATGAACTGAACAACTACATTTTAACAAGAAATGGTTAGAAGAACGAACAAAATGGTTTCATCCACTGAGAAATGCATCTGGTGGTTGAGTAAATAAAGAATCAACAAATAGTCAAATTTCAGTAAAAATGAGGCCGTTTATTTTTAGGTTTAGACCACATTTAAGACCAGACCAGTCTCCTACCACATGGACACTGAAGCATGTATAAAATCACTTTCCCCATGCTTAAAAGGTAAAAGGCCTCTAAAAATCTAATTATACACCACATTTTAGTTCAGGTTGGTGGGTAAATTCAGATTTTGTGGCTTATACAATATTCAGTCAAAACCACAGGTAGGCACACACTCAAAGGGACAGTGGTAATAATGCTGAAATCAATTTGCATTGTGGGAATCATTAAAGCATACATTAAACAAAGCAAATTAAAAATGTATATAAAAAAATAGTAATTAGAACTTCCATGAGGGACAGTTCAGAATGTTACATAAACTTGACAGAGACATTTGTTTCCTTCTCATGTTCTAGTTTCTATAACCCCCAAGGCATTTCTATTACACAACAAACAAAAAGACAGTGTTACCATCTTTTATGGTCAGTACAGAGCACCACTGCTCAGACTAAAGTATAAAAACAAAAATACCCCACACAGAATCTCATAAACCTGGGCGCTGTGTTTAAAGTGCCGGTGAAAAGAACTTCAGGCCATTTTAATAGTACAAATAATGCTAGAAAACAGTAAACGGACGAAACTCACAAAGCATGTCTAAAACATGTGCGTATTTGTTTGCATTTCACCCAAAATTTAAAATAAAAAAAATAAGCATACATTTTACTGCATAAAGAAAATCAAGCATTTTTTAAGACCATTACCTTTTTTGCATTCTAACATTATAATTAAACATTTCCCAAACGTTCTCATTACTGCAATAAAAAACGTATTATTAAAATGAGAAAAAAAGTTACTACAATTTTCTTCAGCTGTTGTTTTCAGATAGAATCAAATACATGAATAATGAAGAATATTTAGAATAATAATAATGAGATTTACTCAAAAGTAAACCACCCATGAGAAAATGTATCATGACAATAATGTCACAGTACAAAAAAAATATTAATAATGATACAAAAATAAAATAAAATAAACAAAATAATAATATTAATATATCTATGGTCTCTAATTAGTCTTCATGTTCTTTATGCAAAATATATTTTTCTTATGATTGTGGGATGAAATATTACCCAGATGTGTTTTTGTGAGACTATACACACCATCGCCACCTAAAAACAAATAAAACGTGTAAAGTTAACCTTTACTTTTAAGACACAGCTAACAAAAGTTATTCGAAATAACACAATATAGTCACAGAGATGGACCCGTTTCTGCTACAGTACATCATGAATACTCTTTCACATACACACAAAAACACAACAGACCAAAAAAAAGAAGAAGAAAAGAAGGAAAGTGTTAAAGCCATCATCTTAGGACAGTCACATTATGAAGGGAACATCCCAGGAGGAGCACTTTATCTGACGAGAACATCACTGAACATGCATGTTTCATGTCCCTCATCTGTGCAGCAGCATTCGTTCTATTGCACACTGCAACTGCTCCCAGTTGCTCCAGCTATACACCAGTAGACACACGCATGCGAAAGTCCCGAACATGTGTAGACGACTTCGCATCAGTGGAGCGGAAAACTTAGCAGCAGTGGAGACGCACACCAAGATCACGGTGACGATGGCCAGCATGATGTTGATGCATTTTCCCAGCAGCACTTTGGCATCTGCGCTTTCCAACTGCAAGACCTGCTGCTGCTGTTGCTGTAACTCCAACTTACTCACTCGCGTCTGACAAACTTCTAAAGCATCCTGCGGAGAGAAAGAGAAAGATACACAATTCCAGTTTTTAAATCTGATTGGCCAAGCAGCATTTCAAAGAAATGCTGATATTTAGGCCCCGTCCACACAGAGATGTGTTTAGCTGTATACGCATAAATTTTGTATTAGGGATGCACCAATACCACTTTTTCCAGTACTCGCCCGATACCAATACTTTTATTTTTGGTACTTGCCGATACCGAGTACCGATACCGATATTTTTATTGCATTTGTACATTTTTTAAATATTGGGTGCAGAAACCAAAAGGGTATGTACAATGTTAGTTGGTTAACTTCATTTATCAGATAGATACAATCAAACAGGGAAAGCTCTGGCTTCGTGTGGACGTAGCCTTAATATAATGGCTCCTTGAAAACTGGAGTGATTATAGAGCACTTTTGGAACCTTTTGCATTGGTGAAGATCTACAGAAAACTTGACAAACTAAATGACCACATAATGTCTAAAAAGGTAAGTGCTCGATATTAACTTATTGTTTATTTAACTAAAAGCAATAATTGCACTCACAAATGTGAGCATCCCAACCAAGGGTGGATGGAGATTTACCGCTGATTACAGAACCGGCTTTACTGACAAGATGCACATTAAATATCGCATGCGATTAATCGTGCAGCCCTAGTTAGAACACAGAGTAACATTAGGCTGGTATTCCTTTTATTGAGCGCTTTACATAAGTGTATGTGAGTGTTTTTGTGTAGGTCTGTACCTGTATATCTCGTGCTCGTTCATTAGCTTGATAGGCCATCTTCTCTTCAATGCTGGCTAGCTCCAGTTTAAGGTTTCCGGTCTCGTTTTGATGGAGTTCTGTGAGGTCGTTCAGCTGTTCTTCCAACCGCTCACACCTTATTCAGAAGAACAACAATTAGGGAGAGTGTGAGAAATAGAGAGCGGAAATTAAGAGTTGAAGAGACCAGCTTATGTTGAGTTTTATATGTTGGTCTTCAGCATGAGATGCTGATGTGGGAGCCTATGATATTTGATATTCAAGCTGACACTTACTTGCATGATACGGCCTATAATGAAAGATGAAAGGTTGATATTATAAAATGTAAACTTTTTTTTTTGTCTAAATAAAATAGAACACTAAAAGTGCTACAAGTGAATTTTAGAAACAACATTATAATGTACAACAACATTATAAATCCAAAGTTCTATCATGAAACTCTAGATGGCGCAGGCTGATAGGGTCTAACTCAATCTGACATAATGACATCATTATTCACATGGCGCAGCTGATTGGTTTCTTTTCGTATCAGCAGCCAATGAGCTCGCTGCTTGGCTAGTGCGTGCCGTAGCAGTTGCAGCGCACTTCAGAAACCCTCCACCTTCCCCAGCTCCACCTGTATGGATCTGCTACGGGGTGATTCATGTATGTTATATATGGGGGTTATTTCATGTTATATGTGGGAATTATATTTCTTACATGCTCACAGCAGCATGTCTGTGCTTGTATTGGCAGTAGCAAGTCTCGGTACTTGCTCTGCCGCAGCAGTAGCGTAACAGATCTATTCCGCCAAGACAAAACACATTAACATTGCCATGTATATTACCATGCTAAACTCTCAGAGGGTTGTCATAACAAAATTACATTATAATGTAATGTGTGTAATGTAATTTTTAAATAGTGTTTTTAAAAATGAACATTAAATGAGCATTAGATGATGGTAAAGGTAATCTAAAACGAAAAAAAGATAAATGAGCTTGCATAACTAATTCAATGTCGACCATTATCGATCTATCGATTGATCGTTATCTAGAACACTAATGTGTTACCAAGACTATTTACCTGAACCGCTCCTCTTGTAGTGTTTGCATAATATTCTCAAATTCACATCTAAACTGGGTCTTCAGAGTGTCAATGTCTTCTGACAGTAGATTCTGAGCTTCCCTCAACTCCCTGATCTCCTCCCAAGCTTCCACCAGCCGGCTGCTGTTTTCCCCTTGGCCTTCTTCTCTCCCAGACCCGCTGTGCTGCCCTGTCACACCTGATCCAGTCACATGACCATTACTCTCAACTGACATTGACGTTTCTGTGGAGCACTCGTCATCACTCGGGTATTTGGGTTTAGGGGTTATGGTGGCGCTGCCGCTCAGGTTTCGGGCTCCCCCTTCCGCCTGCAGCCCACTTCCCGTCTCCATGGTGCTCTTCAGGTGTGCAATGTTGTCCGCGCTACCAAATTTGTTACGAATGAGGTTTGCAATCTCTCTGGATTTGCTGAAGAAGAACGGTGGCGACAGTGAAACTCCCGGGCCAATAGTTTTGACTTTGTCCAAATGTGGGTGGCGCCCACTTCCTGTGACCACACTGTCCTTGAGGTTGTCTTTGAGCATCTCATTTTCTTTGGAGTGTGGTGGCGTGTGTTTGGTCCCATTCGAGATGTCACACTCCTTCATCTTGCGTTGATATTGCTCTAGCTTCTTCTGAAGCTGAGCGATATTGTGTGCCGTTTTCTGGTTCTTTTTCTCAAACACCTGTTTGATGCGGCTGCTCTGCTGCTTGTCGGCGCTGTTAATGAGTTTGAGATACTCAGCCACGTTCTCATCCTGTAAATTTTGCTCAATTCTCAGCTGCTCTTTCACTTTTAGCACTTTCTGCTGCAGGGTGTCCAGACCAGTACGTGATCGTGGGGTGTCACGTACCACCAGATCAGAATCCAGATCTAAACAAGTCTCTGAACCTCCTCTACGCATGACCATTGGCACGCTGAGGGTGTTCACATCACCACCTCTCTCCGCCTGAAAAGAAACAGAGAGAGAATAAAATGAATAACTTCAGGATGGATACAATAAGTGTCACACAAAGAGCTTGCGTTTAGTACTGGCCAAAATAATAACAATACATTTGATATTACATTGTTGGCCATACAAAATAGTTTTAGTATTATTTTTGTAGTATATGTTTTAGTATTATTTATTTTTATGTGCTTGTGACATTTTTATTGTTATTTATATATATATATAAATAGATTTTTTTTTTTTTTTGCTTTCATTTTTATATTTTAATCATTTTAGTACTTTTATTTTAGTTAGATGCCAATGCAACCATTCTCATTTAAGTTGAAGTCTTTAAGTTTTCATTTGTAATTATTTTATTTCAGCTTCATCTAAATTAACAAAAATCATTTGTAATAGTTTTAGTAACCGAAAAAAATGTGAGTGAATGAGTGAATATCCTTTTCTGTTAGCACCATTCTATTAGCTGTGCCTACATCTTGTTTTAATCTGTATGAAAGAGAGACAAAAATTGCAACTAAAGAAAAAAAAAAAGACATGATTTTTAATACTGTCTCTAAACTAAACCTCAACAAAGATGCAGATAATATTGGTAATTTGATTTCCAAAGTACAGTAGTTCTTTTGAACTGCACATTTCAGTGAATCATTTCAAAAGGCTTATTGAGAAAATCATTTCCATCAGCAATTTAAAAAATTGTGTTTTAATTGTTTTTTAAAGTACCATAATACAGGTTCATGAAAATAAATCAGATTACCAACTGCAGATTACTTTTTTCTGCTCTATTATTTAGTTTTACTTCTTGCTCTACGCATTCCTCCACTATTATAATAAATACATAATATAATATATATATATATATATATATATATATTTATTTATAGGACTTCTAAAATAGATATAATAGAGGCATAAAGTTGGATAAGATCCAGAAAACACAACCAATAAACTGCCTTAGCAACAACAGGACAAAAGAAGGCATACTTTATTGGAACAGGAAATAAGCCGAGTAGACTTTTTTTTTCAGCCACACGGTCATATGATGGCACAACCCAGAACAAAAAAACTAGAAAAAAGACTTCATAAGCTACATAACGAGTCAGGATTTCTCCAGTGCAGGGCTCGACAAGCCCCGTCATGTGCTTATCCTTTGGACAGGTAAATCGGTCATTCACTAGTCCGAGTAATAAAGGTTTACTTATCCGGAAAGAAAAACGTTTGAATAATATTAGAACAATAAGACACTCTAGGGCTGTTACCATTAAAAACTATTTTCGTTGGCTCGCTTGTTTTGATTTTTCATGAGAGTCTCTCTTTCACACAGAGATTTCTTACGGACTTGTAACTGTCAACACATTATCCATAATCAATCACCATTTACACAATGTAATAAAATCAGAGACATTCTTTCCAAAGTTTTAGTGCTTCTCTAGTTATTTTTTGTTACTAGAGAAGCACTAAATCTTTTAATCAGCCTACTTGTCCAACAAGTCAAATTCTCTTTCACTTTCCCATTCAAATCCACTTGTCCTGGACAAAGGGTTAATGTTGAGCCATGCAATATAATGGCTATGGATGAAGAAAATGGTTCTTTTGTACCTTAGTAGTAAATAAAGATTTGGGTCAACCATTTTTGGACTGAAATAAGCCGTGGACCAAATGGAGTGGAAGGAATTCCTCTCAGAATGAAGAAATGAATGAAGCCCTTCATAAGGTCACTTTATGATCCTGTGCAATGGGTTGACAATAATAAGCCATCCCCAGGGTCCTGAAGAACATAAATTCATTCAGGCAAACTAAAAGGGTAGTTAGTCCAAAAACTCTATCATAATTTACAGGTCAATCCATTTTAAAGTGGTCCAGTGGACCTTCCATGTTCTGCATGCACACTGTACTTTGGTACCCAAAAAACAAAAATTGTATAGGTACTGTATGTAATGTTTTGACTGTACTAAAGCATAAAAATACATTTGCAGATAATTAGGAAACATGCTAAGTTCATATTCTTGTTTGTCTGAAAAACAATGATACAGCCAGTTATTCTTCTTCTGAAATGTGTGTTCCGTGTCGGAATGTCGTTTTTTTTTTTTTTGTCTGTGTGACACCGCCCCCAGCCAGTTTGCCCAATAGTATTTTGACACTCCAGGTTGCCAGTTGGTGTAATACACAGCGTACTGCAGCCATAGAAGTGAGCAAACGAACTGGGTCAGAGATCCCAGTGTAAGCGGCCGTTAACACAAAATGCGTCTTTGCGTCTAAAACTGCGAAGACTCAGCACTCAGGAATATTTTTTATAAAAGTGCCGCACTCCACTTTGAGACGTGATGCAATAACAGAAATAAAAACAGTTGCTATGCCAACTAGCTACTGTAAACAAAAGCACGCAAAGCTTGCCCCACCTCCGTGGTCTTCTGATTGATCCACTGTTTTGGAACTGGCATTGATGAGCAGCGCTTCGTCTAGAAGTGTCTTTTTTATTTTACTTGACACAGCATCTTAAAAACGTGGGGCTCATGTGCGAGATGCTGCAAAAGATGCGAGACGCAAGCGCAACAGTCATACACATCTGTCTAGCATATAGAAAAACAATGTGCAATAGTAGTGCACTGGAATGGAAAAACGCATTGTGTGAACGGCCCCTAAAGCCTAAGGCAATACCAACAAATAGAGATAAATCATTTTAGGAAAATTAAAAATTTTCAAGGACCCTACTTTATGATTTTTTGGCCTTTACTCAATCATGTCAAACCCACATTAATCTTCCATGCAACACAAAATGAGATATTTACTATATGAATGTCCCAGGTGCTAAAAATGGATGCTGATTTAAACTGTCAAGCTCCAAAAAGACTATAAAAGTAGTTAAATCATGACAACTCTCGGAACATTTTAGCATGGTGATGGATATGACAATGTTAATGTATTTGGTCTTGGCGGAATTGCTGCTGCTGTTGGTCATTGCTGTATTTGTAGATTATTGCTGCTGCTGCAAGCAAGTACAGGAACTTGCTACTGCCAATGCATATGGCGATACGAATATCATCAGTTACATTAACAACCCGTCAGCCTGCGCCATCTAGACTTTAATTACTGAACTATATATTGCATAAAGATCTCATAACTTTTAAAGCGTTTTGATAGTTTTAGAATTTAAATGATTAATTCATTTTCAGTTCTGAAAAACCCTTCTGCTGTGGGGCTAAATATCTTCCCGGCAATTCTATTCAAATCAGAAATGGTGCTTTGAATTATTTGAAGCAGAAATTAGATTTTTGAGCTAAAGTGGAAATTAATTAATAGCTAACGAGATGAAAAATACAGAAATGACATGAGGATGAATAAATCATGACACTAAGTTCAATTTTGGTTGAATTATCCCTTTAAATCACCCGGGATGAATCATCTCTTCTACAAGATTGTAAAGATGGTTCATTTTCGTCAGGCCATTCTCAAGCCTTACTAAGAGCTACATTCAGCATCTCAACACGTACAAACAACACTAACAAGAGACAGATGGAGGCTGCAATTTTCAAACTTATGAGCCATCACTATGGCTTTAGAAAAGCTCTTTTCAGGTCAGAATACTTATTATTATCAGCTCTTAGGGGTGAATTATCTGTGTACGCTTATATAAAACTTTATTCAGATGTCCAAATGTCAGATATTTGCAATGAAATTAAATTTGTCTGTTACCATGGCAGCTAGCCATCAAGCGGTAACAGGCCGACAGAGATCAGGGACACAGGCTTTTATGACTCGACTGCAGTCGAGGAGAGGGAAAATAAGACAAGCAAATGCAGACCACGGGGAGCAAATCCATGTCAACTCAAGCATTACTGGCAAAGTTCATGAATCTGGATAGAAATCATTCTAAAAAAAAACATCCAGTGAATCATAATTTGAATTGAAGCATACGAGGACACTTATTTTAAGACATTTTCACACTCAAAACTCTAAAAGCTCTTTAATCTGTTGTGATGATGACAAAGGAATTCTGCAAACTCAACAAATGCCATTCATCAGTTTCATTTCACTATTTCTTTTCGAAACAGTTGATTGAAGTGTAGCTTAACCAATGTGTCACTAAATCTTAATGTTGTTTTTAATGACATTTTTTTAATGCTCCTAATTTATGTCACCAAGGTAACATTATAACTTGGAGGAAGCACAAGATAGATTGGTAAATTTAAAAATATGTATTAATAGCTGCATGTACTTAACTTTTTTGTAAAGAAATCTTAATATATCTTTTGGTGTGGATATATGCCAACATCATTTAATTAAATATAATTAGCACAAGATACATTCATTATTTTATTCAATACGTACACAAATTTTTCAAACCGAATATGTGCACTTAATCTGCCAAGCAAGCACAATTATGATGCTGTTAATATCAAAACAGCTCAATATCATCCACTTAATTGGCCTGTCTAATATATTGCTTTATCACAAGTGAAAAGAACATGGCTTTTCCTGTCAAATGGCGTTTAATGATTAATGCTTGTAAAAGAGCTCTAATCATGTTTGTGCATGTGTCACTGAAGCAACTCTGAACCTCTTCTAACTTTGACCAAACTGTATCAGTGTCTTCAGGGCAGAAACGGCGCTCTGGAGAACTAGGTCAGTCAGATCAAATGTGTAAAACAGGCCGTCTGCTCAGCTAACCTTCCTTACTTTCTCCTTCCTGTGACATGCACACACCTGGTGTCCGATTCACGTCATCAGTTATCTCTGCAATCTGGAATTGATTTTTTTTTTATTTTTTTTTAAACATGCAGATTTCTTTAACAATATTGGCATATAACTTTTTTTTTTTTTTTTATAATAATCTTAAATACTTAAAGGATTAGTTCACTTCCAGAGTAAAAATTGCCTGATAATTTACTCACCCCATGTCATTCAAGATGTTCAAGTCTTTCTCCAATGGGTTGAAGGTACAAATTGCAGTTTTAGTGCAGCTTCAAAGGGCTCTACACATGATCCCAGCCGAGGAGTAAGGGTCTTAATATCTAGCGAAACGATCGGTCATTTTCTTAAAAAAACATAATTTATATACTTTTTACCACAAATGCTCATCTTGCACTAGCTTGACCTCACGCATTATGTAGTCACGTTGGAATGGTCAAGT